ATGGAGGAGCGAGCGAAATGCTCCTTTCGCTTCTCACGTTTGGCTTCCTCTGGTTGCAGCTATTAACGCCTCATGTCTGGTCAGTAGAGAGGAAGGAGTTTGGGGAAACGGGGAGAGCAGCGGTAAGAAGAGAGAGTCGAAGACAATGTTTTGATTAATGATTATAGTTCTAGTGAAACAGAATTACCTTACCTAACCCCAGTGGAGAATGGGCAAGAAGTTTCAGTACACAGATTGAAACCAGATATTTCTGTTCATACTGGCTCACATCCATCACTTGTACTGGACCCCAGTTTGAGAACATGACTTGTGGCTGAAAGAACCAGCTTTAGTGTCTGACCCTGTTTTACTAGGATGTCTCTTAAAACAACGACATGTTTGACATCAAACAACACGGGGCACCGAATACGAGTGCCTGTCCCTCAGCACATTTTCATTACTCTTTTTTAATAACTCCTGTTTTATAAGAAAAGACTTGTGTTTTCTTTTGTATTCTTGCTGAGATCATTTTTTAACCAAGCCACCAGATGAATCACCAGTGTTGAGCAACACTTGGTTTTACCCATGTTTCCCAAAAAGTTGCTGCGTGAAATGTAAATTGAAACAGCTTGTAATCAGTTGAAAAATAGAAACTGTGTTTATTTAAAAAACCACGCAGTGAACAAATCTAATGTTGAAAYTTGGATTTCTTATGCACTCGTTTTGAATTTGATGCCAGCGACATGCTTCAAAGTCGTGTTTCACACTGTGTTGCAATCCTCCCTCCACCAAATCAACATTTTTAACCAACACTAAGCCTTGGGAACTGAGAAGATCAGTTGCCGTAGTCTCAAGTGAAATGTTTACAGTGAGGTCATTCCAAAGTTTTACTCTCCAGCCGTCTTGTGCACTTGCCACTACTTTGCTTTGAAAGTCCGGTGTTTCTTTCTGAATGGAAAATGGCAAGCAAGTCATGTTTTTTTGATGTTTTTTTTAAATTTCTAAACTGAGGAAAGTATGATGCATTGCCACACTGCATCATTTACCTTCCATTTTCCTTTTCTTGGATTCCGGCCCTCGCCTCCTGTGTAATATTAGGTTTCTGTCCCCTCCATCTTCTGTGCAGTGCATTGATCTTTTCTAAGGAGTCTTTTGCCCAAGTTCCAAATGCAGTTTGGCTTTCAACTGGTCCTTTGGTTTTCTTATGATGTCTTGATGGTCACAGGGAAAATTAGGCTCAGCACAGAAATCCTTCAACTCGTCAGCGATCAAGTGCACCCTGGAAGCAGCTCCAAAGAAAACCAGATCATTTGATATCAGGCTCATGATCCTTGTATGGGGTTCGGGAAAACAAACGATGTTTGCTGTAGACGTCCAATAAGATGTGACCTCTGACGTCCATCTGCGTGAGCTGACACTCTGGAATATTAGCCGCCCAACAAAAGCCTGCTTGTTTTTGRCGAACAAGATGGTGGAAGCGTGACTAAACAAGAGCGTCTTTGTACAAAACCTCTACCCTCTCAAGCACACAATCAGTGGATAGATGCCAAAGCAAACCAATTAATTTTCTTAGCACGTCCTCATGCTTTAACCCCGAAAATAAATTGCCACCTACATAGCATTTTTGTTAAGTGCTTTATTTTCACAGCGTTTAATGATGTCAAAAAACAGATTTTTTTCCCTCCTTTTTTCCCCCTTGTGTAAACATTATGCAAGACCTGCATTAATGGTCCCACACATTCACGCACACCCTCAGAGAGGTACTTATGTGTTTCTGTTTCATGTCTCCCGAGAGTTGGGCCCAGCGTGGCAGGTGTTAGGTGACCCTGAGCATGCCTGCCACAGCTGAGGCACACGCACAGGTGGGCCTGATGATGGATGAATGAGCTAACAGTCTCCAAAAACCTGCCTGTCCTGACTGAGCGGTGCACAGTTTTTCCAGAAGTCACGCTGACAAGCTGCTTGTCTCCGGCTCTAAGTGGCCTGAGACACTTTGGCTACGTTCACACTGCAGGCAAATGAAGCCCAAGTACAATTTTTTTTTTTTTTTTCAAAAAAAGCGATTGCAGTCTGAAAGGTCATGTTGCATTACATCTAACTTTTACATCAGCAAGGTGCAGGTAAGCAGATTGATCCAAGTATTTAGAATATTGATACCAACCTCATGCAGTTTAAATCTTGTAACTCTGCACGTCCTCAGCTACAAAACAGAAGTTCCGTTTTTTTTTTGTTTTTTTTTTGTCAATTTTCTTTAAATCTTTCAAGTTCTGGATGACTGAAAATCCACAGAAAAATTGGACCATATCAACACTAAACCAATTGGGTCGATGCTTTAGTTAGTTTTACTTCCAGCACATTGCTCCTGTTCCATAAACACAGGGTGCACCGGAGCCAGCCAGAGGCAGGTTCAAACGTAGACACCGAACTAAACGGCCATGTCCGATATTTATTGAATTGGCTCTGATTGCTTCTCCAGAATCAGCATGCTGACATGTTGCATGAGTGTTTACTTCTGTAAACAGCGAGCTGTCATCTTCTGCACACTGCAGTCTTATGGAGGTCGCATTTAAAATACAATGGGAACGTCAACACAAAAAAAATCTAATTTGAGCAAGTGATGCATCTCAGTAATCCAGGTAGAAAAACTCAAAAAGAAAAAATAAGTAGGTCCTCTGGATGGGCTTGTAATGGCAATATTTATTTAACAAAGACAGAAATACGTGGTCCAAGAATGAAGGTACTCCATGAGATGATCAGCTGAGTTTTATTGCAACAGGAAACACAGAGAACAACCTGGCCTGTTTCTGTGCCTCTGCTTCTCTGTGTCACTGTCTCTCCACTGTGTCCACTGTTGAACACTGTTGATGCAGTTGAGAGACCTCATATATAAATATATTAACAAACACCATTATGTCATCTTAACAAGATTTGATACAAGGTCAATGGAAAACACAAAGATAAACACAAGTGATATCTAAGAATGACTGTTGTTAGCAGATCTTGTTCTGACTTTAATCATTCTGTCTGCAGATGAACAGCATGTCATGAAAACCTAGGTCATTAAAGGATGTCATGAATTACTTGCTTAAACATAAAAGTATTAGTTCCATTACAGGTTCTTCTTCATCTCTTGTCCAAGAGACTTCTTCAGTCTGAGTTTCAGGTGAACTCAACCTTATGAGCACTGCCTCCACATGGTGGACAAACAGGTTAGTCATATGCAAAAGAGGGCCATCGCCTAACAATAGGCTTGATTAGAGCAAATTTGAGCAAAAAAAGTCAGGTCTGAGCATTAAGACCTGCAGTGTGAACGTAATGTTGCTATTTCAACCGGTTCGTGTTTTTGTTTATGGCTTTAAGCATCAGACATGTTCTTGAACTTGTGCAGGAACTTTTGTTCAGCTGCTACCGAACAATTTTTAAGGATGTGGTGCTCGCTGATAAGAATGAAAGAAACGAGACAGAGTCCTTGAGTCAGCAGGACAGACAGTGGAAAAGGAAAAACCCTTTAGTCTGATTAACGTAAGGTCTGATGTCGATTGGGCAATCAAAGGGATTATCAGAAAGATGCTGAGCTTATCATCTGGGCTCGCGTTTTGACAACCCCACACTTGATCTTTCTCCTCGTCTCAACCATGCCCATTTCTCCTCGTCTTCATCACATCATCTAGCAGCACCCTGCAGCTTGCTGGACCGACTGCAACCTGATTTTTTTTCCCCTCGTCTCTGTCTTCTTTCTGATCCACAGCTGTTCTCAACCAGGATATTTTTTTCTTTTTCTTTTTTTTAAGTCTTTTATTGATTAAAGGAAATTCCTCAGCAGACAAGCTTGTTGGCAGCATTCAAATTTGGTCCGCTTCAAGAAACATCCATTACTTCAACCTGTTTGTCTCAGAGGGAATGACCGGCTTCTTTTAATTCAACTGTGAGAAATATTCTAAAACTGATTTTGTTCAAACGTCAGAAAACGTTAATTCACACAAAATAGACATTTATCATTTTGGCAGATTTCTGGAAATAAGTTCAAAAGAATTAATTTACATATATTCATTTTTATAAGATCGAGTTTTGATCATAGCATGCCTTCTCCTCCTCTTTTCGCAAAACAATGACATTTTAAACATGTGGCATTGTTTCTATTTCAAACACAGCTTTTCTATTTTTTTATCTTTTCAAAACTCATAAATACACGATAAAACAGAATTGGGTTTGTTATTTTCTAAAGTAATCCCAAAGTTTGGCGAGTTCAGACTGCTTCTATTCCAGTGTGTTTCAGTCAAAAAGCAGTTGGTGAGCTTTTTTTTTTTCATGTTCTTATCCTCTGCCACACTTTTTCCATTTCCATATTTTCCTCTCACATGTTTTCATCTTGTCATCGAGTTGAAACACAAGCTGGGATACAGCTTCATTTATTCTTTGAGGAAAGTCAAAGCTTTTAACGCCTGGAGATTAGTGCAAAACTTCTTTTTTAAGGCTTAAAAAGATTGGACCGCTCCCTTCTGGTGTTTAAATCTCTGCAATACCAAACTGAGAACTATTTTCTGTGACTTTGATTGGGTGAAATGCTCAGTAAGAATCAACTCTGTGTAAGTAGAAGGGTCTAAATCAGTTATGTCCAACACTGGTCCTCAGGGACAACTATCCTTCATGTTTTATTGTTTTATTTATTTGTTTCCCTGCTCTTCAGCAGGTTTTTCAGAAGCCTGTTAATCACTTATTCATTCAAATTAGGCATGCCAAAGCAGGGAAACATCTAAAATTTGCAGGATAGTGGCCCTCGAGGACCAGCATTGGATACCATTGGTCTAAGTAACACACAATACCATGTTTTATGTCATTAAAATATATATTTTATGTCCACAAAATACCAAGTATTATAGTTTTGGAAAGTGTTGCATTGAAAGATTGAGTGTGAGCTTATTTTTCTTGAAGGGTAGTTACAGCTGAATAAACCACAAGCATACACGTTTTTTTTTTTCATCACTTAGCCTCTCTTTCCTCACATTTTCTTTCTTGTGCAGGTTATGGAAATCTAGGAAATGGAGGAGGTATGTGTTTGACCCTTGATCCTTGACCCCATGCTGTCTTTTCAGTCTTCTTTAATCTTTTTATTTTTTTAACTTTCAATTTTTTGTCTTCTAGGTGGTTACGGTGGATACGGTGGCGGCAATGTGGGCTTTTACCCTGGAGGTGGACAGAAAGCAGCCAAAAGAGGTACAGCTTTAATAGAAATATGACACTGGTTTCCTATAAAGGAGAGAGACAGAGTCGGTTATTAGTCTAGCATTCCTTCAGAGACCGCTGTCAGCCCAGAAATCTCAGAGTTTAACAGAGCATGAGGATTATTAAACAGAAAGATGAGTGTTTGTTATTGGAACCACACTGCTTATGCTTTGCTCACTTCTTGTGTATTTGTTTTAATTGCAGCAGTGATATTGTGTGTAATTCTTCTCACGGACGGGGAATTTGATGCTTAAATATCATTAGAATTAGTTAATGGATATGTGGTGGTGGTGGTGGTGGTGGTGGTGGGGCTGTTGTAAAACACTTCTGGTGAGTTAAAACGGACTTGTCCTCGTTTATGGACATGGTCATGATTGCAGCCAGTTTGATGTCTCAAATCAGTCGTTCCTTTCACAGGTGCAGAGTCAACGATAAAAAAACGACATGGTTGTTTTAAATCACTGATACTGACATCCAGTTGAAGCTCAGAGCTGCAGGAGGCCCTCTGACACCACAAGGGGGTGGTTTTGTTTTCAGGCCCTCCGACAGGCTGCTGCACAGACCTCAGACTGTGCTGACAGATGCATACTCCGACTTTTGATAAATCTACGTACTCGCATGTTACGAGAAAGCCAAAATGAATGTTTCGCATTAATGGTAGCTCCGTTTGGCAGACATGCCGATCTTTATCGTATACTTGTGACGCTTAGACAGTTTGAACCTCAGCAGAGCCCAGACTGACCTTAAAATCTGGGCTGTCTGTGCTCATCATTTGAGTTCAATTAGATGGACTGATTAAACTGAAGCTCAGGGGGCCTCAATCATGTCCAGGGCTGCATTGTGGCAAAGAGCCCAGGCTTAAGTATTGGTTGGCAGTGACAAAAATATCAGTCCCTGGAATCAGTCAGTGCTTCTTTCATGACACTTAAAATAACAACTCGATTCTTTGAAACAGCACAGCTTTTAAAAAAAAAAAGCTCCCTTGCCAAACCTTTCCTCAAGTCATCCAGACCACATATTTACAGGCAGTGCGCAACGTCTCTCCGTTAAAGTGTTGGGAATTTAAGACAAAAAATTTCAAAAAAGCTTTAAACAAGTAAACAAATGTTTTACCCAGCTGCCAAGCTCTCCTGCAAGTGGACCTGACAACTCATTTCCTGTGTCAGGAGAAAGCCAAAGAAGCGAGGTAAATGCCGTTATTCTGCCTGCCTCTTCTGATTAAGCATCAGCCCTGGAGCGTTTTGTCTCGAGGTGATGACGATGAACTGTTGGGTCTGTTTAGCTGCTCCCAGTATCAGCAGCCAGTTAGTGTCTCAGAAACATCTGAAACATCTGCTGTTCAGTGTCACACACACACACACACACCTGCTGGTCAGTGCAGAAACTTTTCCCTGAACATTAAAACTGTGAATAATGTTTCCACGTTGAATGAACGTGAATATATTTATATTTGCAATCTTTGTGCTTTGAACCGCAGGAGGACCCGATGGTACCGGAACTGGACTTCCAGTGAACGGCCGAGGCAAGACACATGCATCAATTTCTCTGTTTTCGCCTGTTTTTGTTTTTTTTAATGAAGTGGGAGTGGTGGTGCAGATTAGAGAAGKTGAGCCTGTGATCAGYAGGTTTGCTGGTTCAAATTCCCTGATACCTCAAAAATGTGGGTGGGAAAGGTGTTGCAGACCTGTCTCCACCTTTGAGCAAAGCYCTCAACTTCCCCAGGCAGAAGGCAGCCCCCTGCCAAATCATCCAAATCTTGAAAATTAGCTCACACCTTATAAAGGGGGCAGATAATAAAAAAAAACAACATTTTTACAAAGCAAAACATCTGAAAACYATCTCAGTAACATGAGAATCATATTTGAGCCAAGTTGGGACAAAACAGTTCTTTTTTTTTACTTTATATATATATAAGACAGCTGTTTATACCTTGGRCATCCTCTAAGACAGGTGTGTCAAACTCATTTTCATTGAGGGCCACATGAGCAGTTGTAGAGCCAGTTGTAATTAACTTTGATGTTTTGTGTTTAAYTTGGACTAAACATGAAACGTTCCTTGTCTCACTGCTATGGCTGCACCACCAACAAACAATAACCGAGATCAATGTGGTATGTCCAGCAAAGAAACTTCTCTGGTGTTTTAACATGTCCTCTTACAAACACTGAAAAGTACAACRTGKAAAACTGACTSAAAGTGAAATAAATAATACAGAAATGTTATTAAAGTAAAAGTTAGAGTTTTACTCACTACTGAGTTGTGGTGAGTAACTYTTCCCCTTTCTGACAGGAACTTCCCACTGGATGGGGCGTTCTACTTTAAATTTACGACTTGTAAATGAGAAATTCCCACTTCCCAGTTCAACTGGGCCGCAGCAAAAGTAGCCGGTGAAAATGCAGCTAAAAGGAGATTTAATGCAGCAAGTTGCCGGCTACTTTTGAACCCTGTGTAACTCCACTTAGAGGTGAGGTGCTGTCATTTTACYGGTAAAATAATCTACATGCATTATGGGAGATGTAGTTTATGATCAATGCTGGCTTAAAGCAGCATRTGCTTATTTTAAGACGTTAATACATCTTTGAATGTTTTAAGGGCCTCATTTGGCCCACAGGCCTTGAGTWGGACACAGCAGCGTAACTCTTAGTTACGATAGTTTTTGTCTCAGCACTTTTACATGAAAGCCTTTACCAAGGGCATTTGTCACAGTCCTTTTCAATGATCCAAGTAACATTAAATGTGTTTTTCTTTGTTTTGTTTCTTTTTTTTTTCTTTCTGTTTTTGTTCTAGCACCTGTTATTCCTCAGACAGGCCTTCCAGGAGGGACCGGTGGTGTTGCAGGAAAAAAAGCAGCCAAAGTTCCAGGTTAAGTAGACTCAACAATAAACTGAGGAGGCCGACGACAGACAGAACGCAGGGTTTCAGGCAGCTGAGCCACATTAAAGACGAGTTCTTACTGCATGTGAGAAGTGTTTTAGCTGGCTGGAGAAATGTTGCATTAATCATCAGATAAAAGTGTGTTGTAGATTTTAGTCTCTTGTGCCGTTTTCAGTTCTAAAATCTTTCATTTATGAAGATTTCAACTACTATTTCTTCTTTTTTTAAGACAGAATAATTTGTGAGCAGTTTCAGGGGCTTTAAAGTTTAGATTCCTCTGTTTTAGTGACACCTAGTGGTATTAAAGCTGTACGTTGAACTTTTGACTCGTGGTAAATGTGAGTAGAATTACTGTATGGGTATGTGATGTCGTGATTTCCGTGTATGCAATTTTAATCCAATGTGTTTTACAAGACCCCAGAACAGGGGTCTGCAGCCTGCAGCTCTGGGACACATGTGGTTCTCTGGAGTTTTGACCAAAACTAACATAAAAAGGAATAATATTTAATTATAACCATGAAAGAAAAACAAAGAGAGTCATTCTGATAAAACTCAAGGAGAAGTAACAAAGTGTCTTTGACAAAATAATAATAATGAATAAAATGTAAAATAAATAAAGGTTTCTATCTGTTATTACAGTCACAGTTGAGTTTCCATCAGATCAACTCGATTTTTATCTTGACTTTATGCATTCAAATTGAGACACAGAAAACACCACGTTGGCCTGCAAAGTTTAGATTTTTATTAAAGGAAGCACACACAAAAAAAGGTTTTAAGAATTTGGTCTTTTTCATTGTTGTAACATGTAAAATTCCCAATAACTGTCAATTTTTTATTACAGGTTTTTAATTTAATAATTAAACCAAATAAAACTACAATAGTTTTATGTAGTGTTTAAGTAACACTTACTGAGTTGTGTTATCTTTATTTCGATTCAAGTTTATGAGTGACTTTTTTGATGGTAAAGGTTGGGACCCTCTGTGCCTGAACAATATAAAAAATTGTTGGAAAAACTCATTTTAAGTTAGTTCTCATTACATCGGCTGATTGAGAGGTTTTCTTTGTGTAGCTTTACTATTAGCTGAAAAAAGGAATTTATTTTTATTTTTATATGACATGAACACTTCATTGAGTTCAGCTGTGAAGTTATGGTTCTTATCAGTGAAATAAAAGCATGAAATGCAAAATATGATCCTGGGATGAATGTCCAGCTGCAGTGCAGGCCTGTTACTGCCATGGATAAAACTGAAACTAAAACATGAGCTTAACACAAAAACATGTGTTTGATTTTTAGTGGAAGAAACACAAAAAGAGCAAAAACATCCTCAGAACTTTGAGACCTCAGCACTGACCACCAAGTTTCTGCAGCTCCCAGAGTTTTCTAAAAAAAAATAAATGTATTGGTTCAGAGACTTTTAAATGACTTGTTGCTGAAGTAAAACTACGTGAAGACGTATCATAAAACTATTCCTCTGTTGAAGATGCAATGAATTGTGGCATCTTTTACAGAAACATACTCACAAAAAGCTTTTTACCAACCAGACTTTGATCAACATTGTCACATACATATTACTAAAAAGTAAAAATTAAATAAATAAATGATAAAACCTTTCACATTTATTTTTTGTGTATAAAATAACACTTTGTCCTCTCATTTGATGTGGAAGGTGTGGGTGTCCCTGGACTTTACCAAGGTGGACAAGTACCCGGACCAGGTCTGTGATCAATGTGATAAAATATTTATTATAAAATGTCATTTTTTCACCATTTGACTGCAGTGTCTGTTCACCAGATTTGCACTTTCGTTGCAGATAACTTCTTTTTGTTGTGGCCCTTTCAGGGTTTGGTGGACGTGGGGTTTTACCAGGAGTTCCCACAGGAACTGACCTAAACTCAAAATCAAGTAAGTTTTTTTCTCCTATTATAAATGTTTTTATCGAAAAGTAAATAAATAAATAAATCAAAAATCTCTAAATTTGAACTCTTTATTAAAAATAAACTTATGACAATATGGGGCTAACAATTAATCCAAACTATGAAAAATATTGATATTCAGCTTTTCTAAATGGTACAGAGGCTTATTGGTATGTTTTCTATTGTTCATGATGAAATTTATTTTTTCGCTTGTTTTTTTTTTTTTACTAAAATTGGTCCATTTTTTCTTTCTCTTCAGTTGGGGCACAACAAGGAGGTCAAGGAGGTTAACGTTGCTGATATTTAGTTTTTAATTTTACAAAAGGTTTTAAATRTTAATAGAAATGTGTTTAACTGATGAGGTTCTCTGTTGCAGGAACCCTTGGGTTTGGTGGTCAGATGCAGCAGGGGGTCTTTCATGGTTACCCACTGAAAACCCCCAAAGTACCAGGTGAATATTCACAGCAAACTTSTCATGTTTTGTATGATATTGCATGTTTTACTGTGACTAATCGCGAGTTTAGAAGGCTTCAAACTCAGGAGTGTGTACCGAGGCAGGAGAACTTAAAATAAACCCAGTAGGTGGTGCATCCCAGTGTAATAATCCCTCTAACACAAACACCAGTGGTGGACAATTAGTGCACAAATGTGTTAACCAGAAATCATTTGTTGCAAACAAAAAATATATTAAAAAACTTGAAAAACAACTTTATGGGCTGAGCGCTAATGGTGTTGTGAGAATATTTAGTTTATGATTTTACAACAACAGTTGCTGAGAAACGAGCACACAGGTTTTAGCTGCTAAATACCAGTTCGGGGCTCCTGAGTTTATGGACTCAATTTGGTTTTGATTAATCAAATATTTTCAGAGMTATGAACTCCTGGGCAGCCTCTCTGTCTTTTTATTATGGTTGTGAAAGACAAATATTTTCCAAACAAAAATGCATATATTATGTGTTAGGTTTGTTCTGAAGACCAGCGATCAGAAACACAAAAAATAAACGATCAAACTGAGAAGTTCTCTGGCAAGGATTTTGGGGCTCTGGGCTCCTTTTTGTTTTGTTTTTTGTTTTTTTAGGCATAGCTGCAAAATAATATTTTTTTATTCCTAAATACTTTGCAGTCTGAGCAGCCAAGTCAGATTAGCAGAATTCATCAACTTAATGGAGATCATTTTTATTCCTGATGTTTTAGTATTTCACTGAATATGAATGTGCTCACATACTCTTTCATCTTTTAGGAGCCTATGGAGCAAAACCTGGCGGAGGCAAACTTCCCTTTGGTACAGACATTTTCATTTATAGGCTTTTTAAAACGAGGTTTGATGCCAATAGAAAAATCTGCATTTAATGATGAGTCAACAACAAYGTTTGGTTCAGGTTATGGGGGATTTGGCACTGGTGGAGCTGGACTTCCAGGAGGACTGGGGGGCTCTGGGTCAAAGCCTGGTTATCCCGTTGGAACTGGTGGGTGTTTTTTTTAATGTACTGTTTAATGTTGTAAGAGTGGAAAACACTGCAAACTGTCTTTTTTCTCTTTTTACATTAAGGTGTAGGGCCAGGAGGAATGTCGCTTGCTCAAGCTAAAGCTGCCAAATATGGTAACTGATAATCCAGATTACATGTGGAAAATTAATTCCTGTTAAGAGAACATTTTAAAGATTGTATGACATCTGTAACAAAAAGGCACAACTTAAGCTAGTTTGTTGCTTCAGGTGCCGGTGGAGGAGTTGGCGGCCTTGGTGGCRTTGGAGGAGTTGGTGGAGTTGGAGGAGTTGGTGGCCTTGGTGGCGTTGGAGGAGTTGGTGGAGTTGGAGGAGTTGGAGGAGTTGGTGGCCTTGGTGGCCTTGGTGGCGTTGGAGGAGTTGGTGGAGTTGGAGGAGTTGGAGGAGTTGGTGGCGTTGGAGGAGTTGGAGGAGTTGGTGGTCTTGGTGGCGTTGGGGGTGGACTGTATCCAGGGCAGGTACAAGGAGGTAAAGTTATTCACAAAGGACACAAAACACCAAATTATCAATATRGATGGATTATTATTATAACCATGGCTATAGTGTCATACAATCAGGTAGAAATGATTTGTTGAATGTGACCCATGCTGGTAAAATGAGTCAGAATGAGCACAGGCTGCAGTGCAAAAAACTTAAAAATATTCAGTTTTGCTGTAATTGATATATGCATGAAAATGAGTCCATAAAGATATCATCTAGCAGCTAAAAGAGCAAATAATCCTCCTAATATACATTTAAATCAAAATGTTCTAACAGGTATGTCTGAAATAACCCATTTTCTTTAGAATTAACCATGTTTTTATGCTGTAACTCCAGGAAATCCCTTCGTATAACGTCTGATAATTGTAAAGTTTGACCATTTCCATTTTTAAATATGGGACTGGAATTCCCATTGCCAACATACCTCAATATAAATTGAGTTTTCAAACCAGCACGCTTGTAAACAAAACGTTTGTGTTGCCAGGTGATAAATCACCCCATTTCAACAAATTTGTTTCATTTTGAAGCTTTTCAGAGAATTTGCAAATAATAACAACTCAGTATTACAGAACTCCTTCATTGTGACTCATTTGGCAACACTGGTCAAAAATAGCCAAATAGGAAAATTAATAATTTTCATTGGTCCTTAGATTCTGTCTGTTAGTTTAGGCTTTCACATAAATTTACCTTTTTTTTTTTCATTTCAGGATTTGGAGCTGGGTCCAAGGCTGCTAAATATGGTGAGAAATGCTTTCAAAAATAATGATGTAAAATAAATTATACAAGCAGAAAACAATAGCTCAACAATAAATTACTGTACGATGATAATTGCTGTAATTCATACTGTTGTTTCCTTTACAGGAGTCCCAGGAACACTGCCAGGTGGTGCACCAATTGTGGTGCCGGGAGGAGGATCTCAGCTACCAGGAGGATATTCTCAAGCAGCCAAAGCTGCTAAATATGGTACGCTGTATAACTTCATCACACGCCTTTTTAACAGAAGGAAACAACTATTGAAACTATTTTAGTCCTAAAGCCCTTTTTCTATTTGCTTTTATGTTTATGAGGTCCTAATAATCCCTAACAGCGAGGGGGAAATTAAAAATACACACCATGAAAAAGCTGTGGACCTAAGAGGATGAAACTGTCTGACCAAGAGGGGCCAGTGGGGGGCAGTGGCGCAAATTCTTTATGAATCTAAATTCCCAGTGTAAAACACAGAACTGTGAGCATCAATCAGTGAACATTTTTATAACCTGTTGAAATCACTGATGGATATTTTTGTTATCGGCTGATTGGAGATTTATAACCATGTCATATGGGGTTTCTTGAAACACCATWAAGTCACTTTTTGGTTTAAATTTAGTTACCAGATTTCTACACTAGTGAGTTTGTCGGTTTTTCAGGCTGCTTCTGTTACCCCTTTCACAAAGTTTTAGAAGTCATAAAATGTTATTGCCTCCACATGTTTTACAAACGTTGTTCCACAAGACCTTAAGTTATGAGYTGCACAAAACCTTCTGCATAGTTTGGTCCTCTTTATTGATCTGAAGTAGATTAATCTCTTTCATCTCAAGAATTTGTTTTGGGACTGCCCTGACTTTTTAGGATGCTTTTTTTTTTAATTAATGTGTTTTACGTTTTTTTGAAGGGCAGAGACTAAACAGGGGTTTGCTTTCTGCATTTGTACTTTGTTGGTTTATATTTGCCCTCATGAACATGAACATTTCTTTGCAGTAGACTAATCTGTTTTTCACAGGATTAGGAGGATCTGGAGCCATAGGTGGTGGGCTTGTACCAGGAGGACAAGGAGGTGCAGGGGGATACAACCCTGCTGCTGCTGCCGCCGCYGCCAAAGCTGCTAAATATGGTGGGTCAGCATGGGGTCACTGGCACCGTAGAAACTTACAGCAAGGAGCAAAATAAATTTAAATATAAAATAACGATGTTGTCAGATTTAGGGGGTTTGTGTTGCTAACTGGTTCCAATGCTGGGATTAACTACACCATCACAGTTTTAGTAACTGATTAAAACGGCTATTCAACTAAACTGTGTGTGTGTGTGATGGGGTGCCTGATAACAGTAGAGAAACGCTGCATTRTGTAAAAGAACAGGTATTATTATCTTTTACCCTTTAAAATTGTTTATTTTCTTGCATTGAAAAGTAAATTTAAAATTTATATTTGATTTAAAATCTGGCGGGCCACCAGTTGAATAGCACTGGAATGTGAGGGCCACTGAATGAGAGGAGAAACATCACCTGTGAGAGGAAAAATACCAAATACTGGTTCTTTGTTGTTTATTMTACAAAGTTACTGTAGTTTTAAATTTTGAATTACTATGACAAGATATATGTTTACAACTGGATTTGTTTTCTGCAGGAGTGGGTGGACTAGGAGGAACGGGAGGTCTGGGAGGAACAGGGGGTCTGGGAGGAACAGGTCTGGGAGGAACAGGAGGTCTGGGAGGAACAGGAGGTCTGGGAAGTGGTGGACATCTTGCTGCTCAGGCTGCTGCCATTCTTGCTGCTGCCAAGGCAGCTAAATATGGTAACTAAAATGAAATTTGTAAACACAATAATTGGGATGAAAGTTTGAATTGCCACCAATTTCTTTTTCTGTTGTGGTGGTCCAAGGAGGTGTGGGAGGTGGAGTTGGTGGAGGAGGTGTGGGAGGTGGAGTTGGTGGAGGAGGTGTGGGAGGTGGAGTTGGTGGAGGAGGGATTCCAGGAACACAACAGTTTCCAGGATATGGATGTAAGCAGATCTTCAGACACTGAATCCACCTGAATTTTGAGTGAAATGTTTCACCTTTCTGTCAAACTCTTCGATCATCTTTTAAACCAACAACTTTTGTCCTTTTGGTGTTGCAGCGTTAGCAGTTGGAGCCCTTCCTCCTAAACACCGTAAGACTTTGATATTTACCTGTTGACGAGGAATAAAACTTGCCGTGATTCATGGAAATATTACATGTGCTACATGTTGTTTTAGTCAAAATTCAGTAAAACTGCAGCCTAAATGCATTAACACGTGATTTTTTTAAAAATATTTGCTTAAATGAACAGTTCCACAAACAGGCCTTGGAGGAGGTGGAGTCCCAGGGGGAACAGGACACGTGTTACCAGGTGGCTATGGTAGTAAGTGGTTACAGGATTTTTAAAAAGCTTGTACAATTCAAGTTGAAGTGCTGCTTGTAATAATGAAATAAACACTCAACACTGTTACAGGTTATGGGGGTGGTGCTGGAAGCAAACCTCCAAAGTTTGGTGAGAATATTTTATTCCTTTTTTGCTTGGAATAATTTAAAGAATGATGGGAATCTTTCCCTTCTAATCAGGCCTTTTACCAGGGAGATACTGAATGTTTTAGTGCACAGATGCAGGAGTGTGTGTTGTAGTTCAGGTGCTGCTGCACAACTTTACATAATGAAATCAAATCCAAAATGCATTATTGTAGCTTGTTTCGCTCATCATACACTGTTGTCATTAAAGTAATGTTGCAGCCATTTCTCCTCTCAGGTGGAGCTGGAACAGGGTTTGGATAYGGAACACTGGGAGGAACAGGAGGAGGAGGAACAGGAGGAGGAACAGTACCTTTTGTTCCAGGAGGTGGACAATACTCTGCCGCTGCAAAAGCTGCTAAATATGGTGAATATAGTCAACACAAACAATTCACAAGTGTGTTTTCATTAGACTACCTTTTCATGTTACAAGTTTTCCATGACATGGCCCTGCAAACACAATTAGCTTCTGAGCCCCCCGCCGCAAACCCACAAATAATGCTACAAAACATGTAAAGAGACATCAACCCTTTAATTTTTTCTCACTTTTATTCACTAATCAATAATTATTACATTTGTTTAGCATAGAAATTTTATTAACATGTTTTAAATACTATTGTATTCCCACTGAAAAAACAACTTTACAACAAGAACATTAATCTTAGGCTCCAGCCTAAGATTAATTTCTCTTCTGTTCCTGTTGTAAAGTAGATTAGATTCAAGATTTAAAGATTCAAAGATTCAAGATTTAAAGATTCAAGGTTTAAAGATTCAAGATTCAAAGATTCAAGATTCAAAGATTCAAGATTCAAAGATTCAAGATTCGAGATTCAAAGATTCAAGACTCAAAGATTCAAAGATTCAAAATTCAAGATTCAAGATTCAAAAATTCAAAGATTCAAAGATTCGAGATTCAAAGATTCAAGATTCAAAGATTCAAAGATTCAAGCTTCAAAGATTCAAAGATTCAAAAATCAAAGATTCAAAAATCAAAAATTCAAAAATTCAAAGATTCAAAGATTCGAGATTCAAAGATTCAAGATTCAAAGATTCAAAGATTCAAGCTTCAAAGATTCAAAGATTCGAGATTCAAAGATTCAAGATTCAAAGATTCAAAGATTCAAGCTTCAAAGATTCAAAGATTCGAGATTCAAAGATTCAAGATTCAAAGATTCAAAGATTCAAGCTTCAAAGATTCAAAGATTCGAGATTCAAAGATTCAAGATTCAAAGA